AGCAGCACAGGCCCTGTGCCAGGTCTAGCAGGCCACCGCTTGCACAAATCAAGCACCAAAGGTAGCACCTCACACCAGGCGGCTGCAGGAATAGAACAGCAAATACTCACGACTCGTAGCAAGTGAAGCCCCATTCTCTTGGAAGGCCTCGGCCAGAAAAGTCCTCCATCGGGTAACACATCCCCCAGGGTCCTGCAGCAGGGTGGAGGTCTGTGCTTTTAAAGGCAGGCAAGTGGGGCATGCCCAGAGAGAGAGGAAATGGGGAAGGAACTGGCATCTCCGTTTGTTTCCTTTCTGTTCTTTCTTTCAAATTGTGGGTATCTTAGAAGGAAAGATTTAAACGGGGAGTCTTCAGCCAAATAAAAGGTCGATGCATTTAATTTTGTTACAACTTATTGTTAGGACTTGACAAGCCCTCTGGTCTTGGCTTTAGTAAATAAATAAACCAAAACATTGTACTTCTGAGGTCAGCCGTGCAACACTGGGTGTTTCACATGTAACAAGCAAGTCTGATCTTGTCACTTTTGACTTAAGTAGCTGGCAAATACATGGGATCTCAGAGGCTGGAGAAGAAACATGATTTTTGTTTTGTTTTTTCTTGCTTATCTCAATAGCAGGCATGCAGCCTCATCCAGCTACACCTGTACCACACCAGGGACCGTTGGCCTCAGCTGCTTGCAAAAGTGCCCAAAAAAGGTTGCCAGGATTACCTAGCCTTGGGATATGCCAGTTGAACTGCTTTTGGGAACACTTTGTAGGCTACTTTGGTCAAACCATTAGTAAAGATGAACTAATTAAGCTTTTGGTTAACTAAAGCTTTTTAATTTAGCTTTTTGCTAAGATGGTAGGTTTTCTGTTCTTCTATGTGACCCAGGTGGTCTCTGATTCCTGTGCCTACTGTGTCTTCGTAAGTAATAATAATCAAAAATAGTCTTGGTACTGTTCTACCCATCCTAGTCTAGGGACTTCATTCATTGTAAGAAGGGATCAACAGGGATTTCACTTAACATGCGTATAGTCACTGTTACCCTGGATAACGCTATATGAAGTGAATTGTTCTGGAAACACAGCAGCACTCTATGCCTTGTAAGTAAGGAAGGGGTGAATGCAGCGTGAATCCACAAAGTATAAATTATTCAGGAGCTCATTCTGCACTGGGACAAGAGGAGAGCTATCTCTGCCTTTACTAATGAGAATTTTAGGCCTAAAGAAACTCCCAGAAATCTATAGAGTGTTTGTGCTCATTTTCAACAAAGTGTTCACTGTTTACCTGGAATGCTATATGGGCCTGTCACTTTTGCACAGACTCCTAAGATTTATTTAATGTAGAGCCTGCGAAACAGTACCAGAAGTTAAACAAGCTAAGCAAAATGAGGACTGGCACTGAGATTGCAACACAAGATTGGCTCATGATGAACTTATTTCATTCCATGCAACTGGAATAGTTGGTAATTATGCCAGGGATTCCAAAGGACAACAGGATGTTTTACATAAAATAAACCCACTTGATTTATTGCAGTTACATTGATTTCCACCTCTAGGACTTGTTAGACAGACAGTTTAATTTATATTTAAAAAAAATTAAACCCCAGAAATTTCCAAATAATATTTTGGATTTTAAATCACCCCTGTAGGATGGAATTCAGAGGTGGAGGATTTCGAAATTCTGTATTGTATTTTCCAGAAATGGTCAATCCTGAGGAATACCTCAATGAATGAAAGACTTAAAGATGTGATTAGCAGGGATGTGTATAATACAGTTTGCACATAGGGGATAAGGAAACAGGTTTGAGCTAGGTGTGTGAAAGTCAAGGCAGTAATTCACAGAAAACTGCATGCTCCCCTGGGCAACTAGTTTCATGTTTGAAGGTCATTCTGATTTGGATGAGCATGGATGAGCAGGTACTCTGGAGTCTGTAGAGGGTGTTCAGCCATCTATGGGGAAGAAATGACTAAACAGCATGTAGGTGGTTATAAAATCCAGGAATTTTAAGAGCAGGGTTGCTAAAGGGACTAGGAGTGAAGGAACACATTTTGAGCCTTGTGAGAGTGCAGTTTCATGTTACAATTGTTACAGCAGATCTATGAAATAATCTGATTCAGAAAACCAAAATCCCACATCATTTCACTGATGCATTTTCAGGCACAGGCCCCCAAACAATTGAATCATCACAAGTGAAAGAGAATTAAACCGTGGCTGAAGGTTGGGAATGACTGGCCAGAGTGGGAACCTCTTGTCTTTACCTTCACACTGAAGAAATTACAATATGGGATTCTACCCTAACCATACCATATGGTAACTGTGCTGTTGCCTGATACTGTTAAAAAATGACATTATTTATACTATAGTTCTGATCTGCTAGTGAGATTCTTGGTAATCCAAAGTTTTAGACATAGTGACATGAGAAATAGCATAATTTATTTGTGAAAAGAAAATAGCTGCTTAGTTGAATATTGTGAATAACTCCTTAGGCAGTGATTTTGTATTGTCCTCAAATTGATGAGGACAATTTGCATATAGTAAGATCCTTTGTGCTCCTGGGTCTGTAAAGTGACCTTTACAAAGGAGGCAACTTTACCGAAGAAGATTCTGTGAAGAAAGAGTGAGTCATGTTACACAAATGTGAAGCTGAGCCCTTTTGCTAAAACATTTCTGCAGTAACAAAGCCTCTACCTCAATTTATAAAATAACTCAGCTACGGAAAAGATACTCTGGGCATTTTGGATGTCAGAAAGAAGAGAGCAGTATCTTTCCTACCTTAGAAAGCTGTCAGCTCTGAGTGTTATGCCCGATTTGGGGTGGCAGCAAGAGACTACATATGAAACAGGTGCTAAGTGAGAGGAATATGGCTACTTTGTTCTTGCCACTGAAAGAGGAAGGAAGCAATTGTCACTGGATTCCTTATTTTATATTACAAGCAACATGTAAGACTTTAAGATAAACGAATTCTCACTGAGAGAGCATACAAATAAATAACACACAAAAATGCTGTCCTGAAGAGTTTACAATTAAATATTGTGCAAAGAACAGGTCAGGCTTTTCAATACTCTTTAAAGTTTGCATGAACTGCAACCCCGCATCTTGTTCTGGAGATGTATAGTGTGCTACAGTGACCCAGACTTGGTGCCTGAGAGAGGCAGCCCTCTTGCTTGTTAAATAGACCAGCAAAAGGGAGCTAGACCTGTCAGCATTCTTGACTGTTTTCGACAGCTAACCTTTCAATACTGTCCCTCATTAGGAATAGCCCCTGTCTATAACTGTAACCTTTCAAAGGTCTGAACACTTAGGAAATGTCAAACATCTCTCATTGAATTGACACAATTTCAGGTCGTTAGTTTTACCTTTGGTTGCCATTTTGATCTGTACTGCCCCATCTAATTATGGATTTTAGTGATACAAACCATTTTTACTCCCATGTTTAAAGCATAAGGAATATCCTGCAATAACATAGTCCAGACAATTGTTTTCAAGGAGGAAAAGGCATAGATGCAAGCTGTCAGAGAGCAGACATGAATGAAGCAGCAGGAAGAGGTGAGGGTAAACAGGCAACACTGGATCTCACAGTTCTTAGCCTGAGATCTTCACTCACTCAGACAGTAACCCTGTGTTGTTAATGAGGCATCTTTTTCAGATGAAATTAAAGGGGAGTGACTATAATGAAGCAGAGATCTGAGCCTTTTTCTTCCTTCCCTGAGAATATTTTGGCTAGTTATTCTCCACCTGACCCTTTTGGGTTGGTTTGTGGGTGTTTTTTAGGACCAACAGCATTTTTTCCTGTACTTATTTCATCCACTAATTAGACCCATTTTGATTTACTTATGTTCAGCCTGTTTTCCCTTTCCTGTTTTCAAGTAGGGTATCAGCATATTTTTGTGGGAGGTCATACAGTTGCATGGATTCTACTTTGCATTTTTCCTACCAAAATTGAATATCACATGCAATTAGTGCATTTTTTTTTTTTAATTATTATTTTTCTACAGTTAATATGTAGTTGATAAAGATTTGTTAGTCCTCCCCCATGGTGGTTACAACCTTATCACATTTTTGTCTCAGTCTTGTGCTGTTTGCTCACTGTGTCACTAACACTAATAAAATAACTTATATAGTTGATGCAATAAAAGCAACAACAAAAAGTATTACTGTGATTTTTTTATTATTCTTTTGCCAAGTCATGCTGGATTTGTATTCTTAAATTAATCTATATTTTAAAAAATGTGTTGTAGTGCACAGTGGGGGCTATGAGAGGAGGACTCTGTCTTTTCCAAACACATTCTCTGTGCTTCATAAGCTAAGTTCATATTAAATATTGAGGAATAATCTCACTTATCTGAGGTAATGCTGCCCTGAGCCTACAGATGCTATATACCTATATACAGGATGACTGTAAAATGTTGCCAAGACTGAGCATTAGGTCCTGGGTGCTCTGGAGTTCTGTCCACTAAATTTAGTGACAACAGAAGTTAACTTAGAAAAAACTGATTAAACTTGAAAGAGTCTCTCCTCCTGAATTCAGTGGGAACTGAACTGGGTTTAGTACAACTCACAGATTCAATCTTAATTTTATTATAAATTATTTTATTGAGATATGACCTACACAGAAGCTTTTGAACCTTTCACAGAAAGATGAAGAAACTGTCACAGGGTGTATAAGAGCAAATGGTAGAAAGGTTTAACAAGTTTTCAGGGACAATGTTGGTGTGAACAGACTCTGCCCCAGCTCCTGGTCATGCATGCATCTCCCTAATCCTGCCTGCTATTATGACATCTCAGCTGTTTGTGTGGCAACACAGTGAATCAGACTGCAAAAGTGATACAGATGAAAAATAACTTAATTTTTTTGCCATGTTTCTTTACAGCCCTAGCAGTTCTGCTGGTTTCACAGCACATGAAGGTGGGTGGTACAGACACATGAATAAATAAGCTGGAAACAGGAGCTGCTAACCTCTGTTTATAAAGCACTGGTTGTGAATGTTGAACCTAAAGAGTAGTACCCAATAATTTATCCTTAAAAGAACAGGTGTCCCCTATCTTGAGCAAACAGAAAAGCAGAGAGTGGTTGGAAAGGGTAAGGTCCAATTTACAACTCTGTGTCTAAGCTGTGCTAAACTGGGAGACAGTCCCTTAGGAAATGCTGCAGCCAGCCACAGCCAGTATGATTGAGGCTAATC